CGGGCCCGGGTCTTGAAAATTTCCTCAAGCCCGTCCCGGGCCGGGCCCGGAATTTTACAAGTATGCCGTAATCTCTCTAATATTATAGAACGCTCCCCACTCCGGTAACTTTGTGCCTAGAAAACTAATTTTCTGTAAAAGATAACAAAAATAAGTCAACTTTTTCTGGGGCATGGCCTTATTTTTTTTAGGTCATGACCAAGTTTTTTTTAGGTCATGACCTAATTTTATATAGATCCCCGTGGGTCACTTTTTGATATCTTCCGCAGGAACTGGGATAAATTGGCTCAAAGTTAAGGGATCTCTATAAGAGCGTGAAAGTGGTATAAAACTTACATTTTTGATATCAATGTGAAGAACGTCCTTCATATATGTTAGCTGGTTTCCGAGAAGCAAGAAGAAACTCCATGATCGACAGAACGAGCAAATGATGATAGCCCAGACAGCAGTAGAAGTCATCATGTCCCGCCATGGCAATGTGGTTAGCTGGAAAACAAATTTTCGCTAGAACCCAATGATTTTTCTCAACTTACAGTCATATTCTTAACAGCTACTGTTCCAACTTTATCAGTGATAAACTTTTTCTCATCCTCTGCAATGTATCTATGAGTCGCCGGACTATCACCTGCCACATACATCCATGCAAACGCCCATATGATTCCTAGAACTCCGAAAACGTGGAATGGAGCACTCCAGTGGAAATGAGAGACGAGATAAGCCGATGCTGGTAGTCCAACCATGACTCCAATCGATGCTCCTGTGAATGTAGTCGTCGCCAGTTTAGATCTCTCCAGAGGTGGCGCCCAGAATTTCCAAACTCCGTGCATTGCTGGATAACAGACGCCGAGAGCAAGTCCTTGAGATGTTTGAATACACATGACAAAGATATCAGTGAATGGATGGAATTTCAGAGAAACTGCAGTCAAAACGTTGAGAATAGCGGCTACGAGAATTCCTAGCATGAAGAGTTTGTTGGGAGAAAATTTGGCAGCAAGGACTCCGGCGGGGATTTGAGAGGCAGCGTATCCATAGAAGAAAGAGGACTCCATCATTCCAACTTCAGTACCCGTCCAGAAAAATTCTTTTTCCTGAAAAATTAAAATGTGAAGCAAGAAACAGGTTTTTCGAATTTCTGACTTCTGATACAGTATTCGATCTAATTGAAGTCCACCCAACTGCTTTGAGCTTAATTATCTCTATTCCTGTAAGAGATATCAGAAACTTGTCAACTGACAAATTATTCATCATAATACCACCAATATTTTATCAATTGACAAATTGTTTATATCTTCTACAGGGATCGAGATAATTGATCTAAAAGTTACGGTATCCAGATTTTTTAGGAATCCAAAGGCTCGAAATCCTGGAATCCAGAAACTCCATATTTGAAACTCAGAACTTCAGATTTCCAAAGTGAATAAAATGAACTTTACAATTTGATTTTTTTCAAACTATGAAATACAGCGATCGCAAAACTCGGCGTTTCTGGATTCCAGGATATCGGGCTTAGAGGTGCAAAACGATTCTGGATAGTGTAACTTTGAGCTTAAATATCTCGATTTCTTTGAAAGATATCAAAAATTTGTCCACTGATAAAGTATTCATCATAATATCACCATTAATTTATCAGTTGACAAAATTTTGTTTTTTTTACAGGAATCGAGAAAATTGAGCTTAATTTGCAGGGTGGGCTTATATCAGAGCATTTGAAGGAAATTTGAACATCGAAGAAAATTTCTGACCATCTTAAAAAGTCAAAACTCACATGAACTTCTCCGTAAGCATCCGTAAAATTGTTAACCATTCGATTTTTCGCCACACCGAAATTCGATCGAATTCCAAAAGAAATTGCAAAACCTATATGAGCCAAGAAGGCAATCTGCCATCGCACTTTTTTCAGGAAGAATTTATTCTGAAAAATAAATCTCTAATTTTTGAGTTCTTCTTTAAAACTCACGTCTTCTTGAAGTGTGTGAAGCTGTTCTCGATGTTCCCACGTCTTCGTTGAGAACGTTCTTCGGAGAGTGTCCGAGATGGCTGACGCCGATTTTTTGAGTGTTCTACTCGCCATTATGGGGGTAGACGAGCTACTTTGAGATGATTAGAATGTTGATAGAATGTCTGGAAAATTAAAATAAGAGAAATGAATGAATAACGTTTGGAATGTGGATACACATATAAAAAATCGAACTTTTTTGTGTAGTTGATAAAACAGGCGGATAACACACAAAACGAAAAAAATTGGGGATGAAAGGAGAGATGCGGAGAGATGAAAAGGGAGGAACAAGTTTCGGGCCGGGCCGAAAAGAGAAGAAATGATATTGGTTCGTATGACAACGAAAAACCGAATCGATTCAGCTGATAATTTTCTCTTATCTTTTTTCTTCCCTAAATCTCCCCGCCTGATCAGTGAGAGATGGGGGGGAGAAGAAGTACAGTAAAATGAGAAAGCGAATGAGATGAAACTGATAGGTTAGTCTCTCTCTCTTAAGATCAATGAATTTTTTGATTGTTCCATCCCCCTTCCTTTCTTTGAAATGAAAACCTTATCACAGTCACACGGCGGTGGGGAAAATCGCAACATTTCGGACTTGAATTGGGCTAATTGGGAGGTAGGAAATGATGTTTCTGATTCGTTCTAGATTGTTCTAGATTAGTAAAATAAGCTAAATGACGAGATTCGCCAAAGTAGAAGTTATAACTAGTACGCACTCGATAGTTGGCTTTCAAGCTTTGGTCAGAAGTTGAAGGGGTCAGCTTTAGACGGACATTGGCCAGGTTCTGGTTGAAACTTGTCCAAAAACGGCTGTATAGCGGGTCAAGATTTTTTAGGAAGTTGAAAGTTGAAATACTATTAGGTCGAAATCATAATTTGTCGGGATTTGGTCTTTAGTAGCGGTATTATCCGGAATCTGACCAATCTCCGGTAGGAAGTTGCTGGCGACACCCGAGCAGAAATCGACCACAATACACAAATTTTCTCGAAAGTTTGAATTATGGAAAATGAAGGTTTAGAAATTGAGCATTCAGAAATTATAAATCAGAGCCTAACAGTTAAAACTTTGAAATTTGAAAACTTCAGGATTTATGATTTTTCGAAAGTTCGGAATTTCTTGAGTTCGAACCTGAAAAATTTGTCAATAAAAGGTAGATTCTCGAATTTTAAAATTTCTGGAACGAGTTCTTCAAATTTCGTATTTTCAGATTGAATATGAAATAATGACTGTTAGATTTTTTTTAAACGGGAATACAGATATTGCGAGTTTCTGAATTTCAGGATTTCAAACCTTGAGGTTCGAAAAAGTTCTGGGTTACTTTTCAATGTGGAAAAAAAAAATGAAATTATAGTGTTTTTGAGTCTCTCGATTTGAGAAAATTTTCCTGAGATTTTCCTGAGATGAAGCTACTTTGACAAGCGATAACTCAGCTCGAAGTTTATAAAATAATTTGAAACTTTGCCAGTTTACTAATGAATTATTTGAATTTTTGCACTCCAAATTTGAACCCAGTAGAACCCTTCACTCAAACTCAAAGTTGTGCTAGTACGAACTATAGTTTGGGTAATTATGCACCATCACGTATTTCTCATGCGCACTTAAGACACTACAAAGCAGTCAAAAAAGACTTTGATTAAAAAATACTTCATATATTTTTATGAGGGTTTGAGTATAAGCAGGGACTGTATTATGTGATCATGATTACAATCGACACGGCACTGGGAAAATAAAATGAACTATTCTCATTTTCTGAGAGTGGGTGGAGACCCCAATAGAGAAAGAAGCAATTAACTGAACAGAAAAAAGGACACTTATAGGGGGACACTACACACCGTAAACAAAATATTCATTTAATTGGGATCATTTCTTTTTTATCCTTCTCCTGTTTCTTATATATTTCGATCAGATATCAGGAAAATGGTGAGCAATTTGTGAATAGGTCGGAAATCAAGCCAATTTCCAGGAAAATGACGTCAGGGCAAACAAGGATAAAGTATGAATACGGAGAACTTCAGTATCTAGTATGATCAACCAGTAGTTTTTTTTTTGGAAAGAAAAGATAAAGATAAGAAGATACTGTATGGCCTTATCACACACTGATTGTCTTTTTTGAAAAACAAAAGAGATCTTCGAAAATATTTGGAAGAAATGGAAGAAAAGTTTGATTGATAAAAGACACGGAGACGAGGAAATGTCTCGTCGACATAATTTGATAAAAAATTACAAAAATGAGAAATGGAAAACAATTTTTAACTTCCAAAATTAATTTTGACCTAATAGAGCAAAGATGCAAATATATTGGAAAAAACCGCTTTTTGCTAAAATTTTTAATTTTTAAAATTTTTCCTTGCTTTCAGAATACCGTAAAACCTGTATTAGAAGAGCCGGCTCTTCTGATGTTTCAAGGTACCTCTAGAGGGCCCATCTATTAGAGTGCTTTTCAATTAGAGGGGACTCTTCTATTTTTCCGGCATTTTTTTCAATGATTTTACACGAAAAAATTGGTGAATTATCATTCAAAACTTGCTAAAATCTGTCAATTTGATAGAAATTAAACAAAATTTTAAAAACCAAATCAATGTTTCAACCAATTTCTGAAAACTTGCGGAATTTTCGGAATATTTTTTACTGAAAACGTAAGGAAATTTTTAATTTGAAACAACACATTTGGATGGGGGTCCATATATTAAAGGGGCTCTTCTATTTTTCCAAGCCTCTCTGGGAATGCCCTTCTATTAGAGGCGCCCTTCTTATGAAGGGACCCTTCTAATACAGGTTTTACGGTACTTTACCCTATACTCTCACTTTGAGCATTTCATAAAATTACAGTAGCCAAACTGTTGAAGAAAAATTCAACATGCTTAGCCCAGACTTTTCTAGAAGCTTCCAGACCTTTCGAAATTTCTACTTCCTGCTTTTCTATTCTATGGTTACATAAGATCATAAGGAAAAGTGAAACGAAATAGTTCAGAAAGGGACATCAGAAGACACTAGAAATAAAAAAAAACGGAGAAATATACTGATAAGAAAGGTACAGATGAACAATGAGAAAAAGACACTTCTAGAAACCAGAATTCGTTTGGTCAATGAATTCGGCGAAAAGAGACAGAGAGAGAGAGAGGGAGGTACTGTAGAAAGAGTAGCCAGGCCGTTCTTTTTTGATTCGAGAAAAAATGAACTATGTAAAAATCAACTCACAAGAGAAAGAAGAAACAGTTATGTGATTCGAGAAGAAGAAGAAGACGTTGACACGGGAAGAAGACGTGGAAAAGGAATCAGATGAGAATGGAATGAAGGCAGAAAAAAAATCAGAAGGGAGAGCGGGAACAGTCGGAGTTTATATTTGCCAGAAAAGCGAAAAGTGTGACGTATACGTTGGAAACCTATCAAATTTACAGAAGGCCCCCTTTTTTCTTTTTCAGATAAAAAGTTTTTTTGAAAAAAAATATAATAGAAAAGGGAAAGTTTTTTAGGAGAATGAGAAGGACGACGGACAACAAAGAATGTTGTAGTACGCACCACAATGATCACAAGTAAATATTTTTTTTAGTAAGATTCCAAATTTTCAGATGGGAAGATCATGAAAAAACGATTCTGAAATCATGATGCAAAATTAATTAGAACCGTATTTCCTCTAATAAGAGCCCAATCAAACCATCAACATTGAGCTCAATTATCTCATTTATTCGGAAAGATATAAAAAACTTGTCAACTGATAAAATGTTTATCATAATATCATCAATATTTTATCAGCTGACAAGTTAGTGATATCTCTTATAGGAGCCGAGATAATTATGCTCAAAATTGACGGTTTGAATGGGCTTCTTGTTGAGGTAATAAGACAATTTTTGGAAACTCTTTTGTGGAAAATTTGAGATCTGACGTCTTCTAGAATTTCGAAATTCTGGAATCCGGAAAATCGAAAATAGGGGTTTTAAAAAGATTAGAGATTGGATAGTAGAGATACTTTTGAACAGTTACCTAATAAGGCTTTCGAAAACTTTTCTCGCAAAATATTTCAGATTTTTCAAGAACAATTCTGAAACAAAACATGATAACAGATCACTGGTATCAATCCAACAACGTTGAAATTGATCTCTGATGATTTTCCATAGGACAACCCCTTTTTTTAATCTGGTTTTTTTCAAGTTCGAAAGTCAAAATCACAAAGTAGAAATGAAATTTGGAATTATAAGATTCACTGTTTTTGGAGGTTTTAAATTCTAAGCTTCCAAGATTCTGAAATACCAAAAGTCTGGTTTTTTTCGGAATTCCAAGAGGAAAATTGTTCCAAAGACTTCAGGTATTTAAAGTGACGGAATTAGAATTTTGAACTTTTGAAAAATGGAAATTCAGGAATTTCGAGATTCTGAGAAGTTACTGAAATATAAGTTTTTGGTCCATATATTTTTTGGCACTTGGAAAATTCTTGGAATATCAAAAATTCTGAACAAAAATCAAGGATTTCGAGAAAATCAAGTTTTTGAAAATATCCAAAAAAAAGGCAATACCTGGAAAACAATGGCAATACTGATATTCCTAGAATTTTCAAAAAGAGTTCTAATGACCAGAATGAGATTCTGAGATTCTGAGAAAACTAGGTGATGACGTATCAGTTATAAACTACAGTAATCCACAAACGGTTACCTGTATAATGGGAAAAACAACTTTAATATAGATTCTAGATCTTTCAATTTTTTGAAAACCTCAAAAAAGGGATTCCCCGACCTCAAGAAAACAGGTCACACCCAATTAAATATGACCTTATTTGTAAATAATTTTAAAAAACTAGAATGAAATATATATATCACATGAAATTTTCTTTACAGCACAAATAACGACTATTTTTAGAGAAGGATCAAGATGACAAAAACAAAGATGAAAAAACCAAAAAAAGTGTTTCTTTTCCTCTTATTTTGATAGACATTGCATGAGACATAACCTTCGAAAAACGCGCATGCATGTAACTTCTTCTTTTGATATCTTCTTTCCTTATCATACACAGTTCTAAATCTTACTAAGAACTAGTTTCTCTAAAGATATGTATTTATTTTAATCAGTGCCTAATTATCAGCAATTATCAGTAAGAGACACGTGGAAAGAAAACCGGGCATATGAATCATAGACCGCCCGTATTGTTTCCCTTCAAAGTACGGGATCATCCTCATAAATTATGCGGAATTCTTCTTCTAATTGATTGGGAATGATAATAGAATTTCAGTGACAAACGGTGATAAATCACAGAAAAGAAAGTGGTCATTATTACAGTACAGGGGTCAGCAGACGAATTTAAAGTTTTTGAGAATCTTCTTTTGTAAAATTCCAAGAAGACAAACAGACAAAGAAGCGCGAAATTTTAGTTTACAACTGAAAGAATTGAGAACCTTTCAAAGATAACCGCTGATTGTAAAAATTGAAACTACACAAGATAATTGATCAATCCATATGGATTTTCATCTCTCAAATATCACATTGCAAACTGTTCAAAGAAAAGGGTTGAGAAAAGATTAGATATTATGCAGATATCTGTAGAAAGATGGACGGTTCTTTCGGGATTTATTAGAGAGAAGAAGAGTAGAGAAGAATATGATAATTGCATCATTTTGTTCCAGTTTGAAGTTTCTTGTGGGAATAGGGAACATTTCAGAAACGGTAAATGGTTTTTTTTTGAAAAAGATTCTTGTGGGCGTTAGGAGCAGGGATCTTCGGAACGGAATTCGGAATTTCGAAAATTCCGGAAAAATTCGAAATGGTATTCCGGTCGGATCATTTCCGAACTTTTTTCGGAATGAGCGCGTTTTTACTACAATTTCAAAACGCATGAGAAATTTTCCTATTTCTAAAATCCCGAAAATTTCGAAATCGGAATACTCCGAAGTTCCAAAACTCCGAAAAAGGTCATTCCGAACATCCATGCTTAAGTGAGAGTTTTCCAATATTTCAATGTTTTAAAGTTTTGGAAACTTTGAAAAATTGGCAACATCTGAAAAAAATCCGAATCCCAAACATTCTACAAAGCTTCAAAAATTATTTTGATTTCCCAAAAGTTCAATTTCGGAGAGCTCGATTTTCAGAGTTTTCGAACTTTGCGACTTTCAAAATTTCAGATTTTCAAAAACTCAGCATTTCAGAGTCTCAAAATGCCAAAATTTCAAAAATTCCGGAATCTCAGAATCTCAGAATCTCAAAACTGACAAATTTCAACATTTCAGAATTTCAGAATTTCGGAATCTCAAAATTTCGGATTCTGGGTATTTCAGAATTTCAGAATCTCAAAATTTCAAAATTTCAGAAATTTCGTAATCTTATAGAATTTTTAGAATTTCAAAGTATCTGAATCTCAGATTTTTCGAATTTAAGAATTTCAGAGTTTCAAATTTTCAAAGATTCAGAATATCAAGTTTCAATCTATGAAATTGTAAACATTCAGTTTCTCATTTTCCCTAAAAATTAATAATTTGACAGTAATTTGCCTCTCAAATTCCCACTTTGATCAACCAAAACGTTTCCCTGAGGGAAGAAGTAAGTTGTAAACCATTCTTCCATTTCTGTTTCGGAACATCTACCCATCGTTTTACTGTATTTCCCATTCTCGAGGTCAATTTGTGTCGTAAAATGGAAAAGTGATCTTTAATGAACAGTCGGACACTATGAAAGACGGATAATAAATCATTGTGCTGCATTCTTCACCTGTGTTAGATTTTTATGAGAATCGAAATTCTTTTTGAGTACTCTGGATTTTTTTCGTCTAGAAAATTGTGAAGTATTGATGCGTGGGACTGTCGAGTGTGTGGGAATGATGTCTGGAATAAGGAAATGACCGAAACGGACTTCACGGGGGGAAAATATTGGCATGTGGGAAAACGGTTCACTAATCATTCATGATGCATAATCATATCCGGAACAAATTGAACCAGGAACCAGTTACCAAGCGGAAAATCATATCACAAGAAAAAGACCCCGAAGCTAAACCTTTTGAAAATTTCAACAAAAAAAAGAACACAAGAGATACTAGAATCAAAGCGTATACAGTGTGGCGCTCAGCTACCCGGACCCGTAAAAAACCATCTCTCTGTCTTCTCTTTTACCTGTTTTCTCATGCTCACCGATCGTTCTCTTTTTTTTGTTCTCATACCAAAATTGAAATTCACATCACTATCCATCTATGACATAATTTTAATCTTCTTTTTTGTTTTCATTCCATCACTAAAATAATCATAAAATTTTAAAATTTTTTTTTTCGTCGCTGAGAATCTTTTTGGCTTTCTACACCTGTAGGTTTTTAGTACTTATAAGATTGAACATTTCTGGATCTTGAGCTTGTAGATGATACGATGGAGGTCCGTGATAATTCATCATAAACATATTTGGGTGTGAGGACAATATGGTGCACAGGCAGAGCCTAAGTTGCAACCCTGGCACGGTTTTGCTCTCGACTTTATCCAACTGTGCTTAAAAACCCTGCGGCAAAACCGTGCCAGGGTTGCATTTTAGGCTCCGCCCCCGACTCCGCCCACTTTTTCCCCGATTTTTTTTCCCCGATTTTTTTTTTCCCCGGAAATTGCGGGGTCTCCCTCTGAAAGATGAGAAAAATGCAAGCGTGCCCTGTTGCGCACCTAAAAATTCGCGCGCCAAAAAAGATTTGAATAGTTTTTTTCAGTTTGCAATGATTTTCTACTCACTCTTTCTTGATTTTCTCACTGTATTCACCGGTTTCAATGATTTTCTCACTTTTTGTCATCGTTTTATGACGAGTTTCCCATTTTTTCCAGCTCTGTACCATGGACAATCAAAGAAAGAAGCGAAACTCGATTCTCAAAGTTCGCCAAGAAACGAACTTAATGGATGTTTTGGAGGATACAACGGTGGCAACGTCAAGCGGTGCGACGAATCGACGCGTCAGCTTTCATCAGTTGAAACAAGTCAAGTAAGCTGAAAATTTGGGTTTTTTGGAATTTCTCAAATTCAAGAAAAACTACTTTTCCCTAGAAACCGCAGAAATCCATTTTTTCCAGAAATTACGATCGTGCTGGAGGACAAATCATCGATGCGACGCCGATCAAGGAGAAGGCGTACGATACGATGAGCTCGGACGGAAATTCCACGTATGTATGGATTAGAAAAAAAAATCAGGCCTTCTAAAAGAATCTTTGATTTTGAGCCAGAAAAATAAGAAAAAATAGCAGTTTTGATGATTTTTCAGCTGAAATCGACTCACATTCGGCCTCCTCTGAGCTAAAAATTTACATTTTCAACCCAAATTTTCATTTCAGATCGCACACGACTCGTCTCGACATGGATATCACTGGATTAAACAGTACACCAGTCACTCCGAAGACGCAAACTCCATTCAACGGATCCATGGATATGTCTGTGGAGAATTACGACGAAACCGCACGTCTCTTCGATATCACAAGAGACAAAACCATCTGTGTATACGAGAAAACCGTTGAGACGACGACGACAAAAGTTGTGGAGAGAGTTGTGAGAGTTCCAGAAGGTTCTTCAGGAGCCAACAATGACACTTTGGCACTCTTCAATATGACAGATCGAGCTGAGGTGGATATGTCGGTTGATGGAGGAAGTGAAGGAGCGTTGAAGGTCGATGATACGGTAAGAGAAAGAGCAAAAAAAGCTGAAAATTCAGGTTAGAAATCTGAAAAAGGTTAAAATTTGACTTTAGAAACCGTCCATTTTGAGTCAATAATCAGAAAAAAAAGAGAAAATTTGCCGCAAACATCATAAATCTGAGCGGAAAAAATGTGACTGAAAAACGCATAAAATCAGGAAAATAAGCGAATTCTCGATCAGAAAGTACTACAAATTCCAACTGAAAATGAGAATTTTCGAGTCAAAAAGCAAAAAAAGGGACAGTTTTCCCCCAATGAGTCGCCAATTTTGACTCAAAATTGACTGTCAAAACACCATCAAAGGGTTCGCTTGAAATTTCAAATTTTTCCAAATTTCCAGATTTCCGTGTTCAATCAAACGAACGTCGAGCCAGTCGATATGGATATCACCGTTCAGAAGCCGCTCGACGACACAATGGGCGTCTTCAGAAGTCCAGCGATTCCAACTTCTTCAAGAATTCAGAAGACGTCAGCGTCAACAATGGATTCTCAGAATATGTCGATGTCTATGGATATGGATATCACCAGCAACGAGATGATGGCCGCATTCAAATCTCCAAAAATTATGTCTTCTGTCCTCGTCGCCGCCGTCAAGGACTCCGATGACATGGATTTGACGGGGCTTGTGAACACTGCAGCCGAAGACGTTGCAGATGACACGATGGCGGTGTTCAGAACACCAACAAGGGCTCAGACGACGATTCAGAAGACGTCGGGAGAGATTCCAGAATCCGTTGACATGGAGATGACGGGAATCGGGAATTCTGACGCCCCAGATGACACGATGGCGGTGTTCAGAACGCCAACAAGAGCTCAGCAGACGGTTCAGAAGACGTCAGGAGAGATTCCAGAATCCGTTGACATGGAGATGACGTTGCTGGCGTTGCTTCAGCCAGTTTCAGACGTCAAGGATAATTTTGATGACGTGGCAATGGATATCACTCAACAAACACTGGTCGGGGTTTCAGATGACACGATGGCGGTTTTCAAAAATCCAGCAGCAGAGAAAAAGGTGAAAATTAAAATTTTTGAGCTAAAAATTGACTGAAAACCTCTGGAAATTTGGCGATTCAAGCTAAAACTAGAAAATTTCTGCAAAATCTTAAACATTTTTTTCAAAAATTCAAGATTTCAAAATTTCCAGACTCCCGGCAAACCACTATTCGACGAAAGCATGGAAATCGAGTCGACGATCGTTTGTCCAGACAATGTGACGTTTTCTGAGACTGCTCAGCCTGAAAATCCCGCTTATCACAGCTCCATGTTGATGTCTATGGCGTCGGAAGTTTCAGAAGACGTCGTGGTTCAGAAGACGTCAGAATCTCTTCAACAGAGTTCTATGAGGATGTCGACGACGATCACTGAAGATGTGACTGCTTCTAAGAATCCAGAATCCTCCACGATTTCAGAAGTTCAGAAGATTCCAGAAGTTGTTCAGAAGACGTCAAATGGTGTAGAAGACATTCAGAATGCGTCAGAAACTCCAGAAGACGTTAGTATGGAAATCACGTCAGAAGTCGTCGAAGGTGAACGCGGAACGATGTATCAGATGTCAACGATGGATGTGGATAGTCTTCAGAAGACGTCGTTGGCATCTCCAAAGATTCAGATGACGTCGTTCACCGATACTTCTGAAAAAATGGGCGGAGTTTCGGAAACGTCATTGATCCAAACGATGATGATCGAAGCGTCGGAATCCATGGAATGTTCAGAAGCTCCAGAAGATGTTACAGCTTCTCCAGAAGGTCTGACGATGGCTCCAGAAGACGTCACTGTCGCTTCAAATGTCTCTGGAATCGTCTCAGTATCTTCTATCTCTAGAAGACGTCGTTCTCAACTTCAGGAGTCGTTGCATCGGGAATCGCCACGACGAATGGCACTGGAGAAGAATCTGTCGATGATGAGTCAAATGGGCGGAGCTTCAGAAGCGTTGGCTGAATTCCGTCAGAATAAGCTGAAAAATCAGACGACGTTGTTGAATGATAGTGTGAATACGACGATCGGGGCGAATACAAGTGAATCGATTGGAAGAGACATTTTCAAAATGGTAAGGCAGAAAGTTCTGGAAATTTCGAGCCAAACAATCGATTCTTTCTTTCCAGAACACCTCAATCCGTTCGCCAGCTCATCGCAGCAGCACCGCGCCATCTCCAATGGTCTCGAAGACCCTTCCAGAATCTCCGAAATTCCACGTCACTCCATTCGACGCCGCCATCGTCAACGTCATCTATCTGACTCCAGAAGACGCCGAGACACAGGAGCCAATTCCAGAAGCATTTGAATTTGAGAAAGTTCTCTCTGCCGAAGAATCAAACGTTCATAAGGAAATCGACACGGCTAATTGGTCAATTAGCGGTGCAATTAAGTCGAATCTGGATGCGGAAGTGATGAACATCGCTCGGGGACAAGCGGAAATGAAATTTTTGGAGCTTCGTGGCAAATTTGCAAAGGAGAGCAATGTGGAGATTGCTCAGAAGATTCAAGAGCTGGAATCTCAGAATTTAGAATTGGCTGGAAAAATTAGAGATTCCCAAAATCTTCGAGTACTTCAAAAACAGATCGAAGAGCTTCAAAAACCACAATTTTCGTTGGAGGAAGCGGAAAGAATCGAGAATGAGTACCACGAGACGAAAGTGGAATTGCTGAGAGCTCAAGCAGCAAGTATTCGACGTCAACACGAACTTCTAATGACGATTCGCGAGGAGAGACGTCGATTGATTCACGAGATTGAGGAGAAAGACGAATTGTTGGCACGGTTGGAAGAAGAGGATCGAAAGAAGAAGGAGGAGATGGTGGAGAGAGTTCGAGGTGTGATGAGAGCATAGGAAAATTGTGAGTTTTGTGAAATCGGAGAATTCCGAACTTCAAAAGTTTTGATTTTTGATTTTTCTCAATTTTTCAGTGTTAAAATCTCCCTTCGGCTTCGTCTCAAAGTGGTCTACTCGCTGCAAAAAATAGAAAAATCATGTCAAATAATTCGTTTTTTATTTATTTTAAAATTCAAAATTTCCCTCCTTTAACTAATTTTTTTCTGTTTTTTTTTTTGATTGATCAATTCGATCGGTTTACTTATCAATTGATTTCCACTGATTTTTATTGTAAAACTAGGAATCCCTCCCGTTTCATTGAAAACTATCACTGATGAAATAAAAGAAGTGAACATTTGGATTCAAAATTTCGATTTTTTCTCTGAAAATGTTTTACTTTTTTGTTCTCCAGCATCAAGGCGAATTCTTTTTTTTTGAAAAGTAACATTCGAAAGCAATTTTTTAATTAATCACAAGAAGGAAAAGCAGAGAAAACGGGAACCCAGCCAAAAAATGACAAATAGAGACAGAAAAAAAAGACGGGGGACTATCAGAAAGAAATGACCGGTTCTGGAAGAGGATCTGATGGAAAAAAGAGAAAAGAGTTTACAGAATTTTTCGGGAAAAAAGATTTCAGAGAATGGATGACATGGCTTGTTTAGAAAACGGAGGGCAAGTGGGAAGCTCTGAGAAAATGAAAAGGTAAAGAAGGATGTGAAGAAGATGATAATTGTGGAGAAAAAATTTTAAAAAATCAATCACAGTCCATCATATCATCGTCATCGAATTCGTGTTTTGGTTGTCGATAAGAAGTGAATGGATTGGAAGAAGAGGATGATGAGCATGTGGAATGATTCGAATGAAGGAGGGATGGTGGAGCATCGTTTGGTATTCCTGGGACTGAAATTTTGAATATTTAGTCAAAAATAAAAGGTGATAGGAACTAATTAGAATTCAACAAATCATCCAGAATCTCAAAATTACAGTACTGGACAAAAATAACGTATTTCCTTAATAGTTTCCTGTAATAGAACCCACCCGAATCGTCAAATTTGAGCTCAATTACCGCAAAACCTGTATTAGAAGGGCGGCCCTTCTACAGGGCGCGTCATAATGATATCACTACCCCATTTTTTGAGGTTTTCAGAAAAACTAAAAAACTAAGAGAAAAACGGCAAATGCCATTCGATTCAGCCTCCCAAAAAACCTATGTGTCCCCTGAATCAAGTACCAGTCAACTTTATTAGGACTACAGTAACCAAAAGTCTGTCTGCACACCGCGTCATAATGATAGCACCACCCTAGAAAATGAAAAATCTCCAGTTTTTTGAGAAATAAATTGAGAATAATTTGTTGGAATTTGTTAAAATAGTCTTTAAACAGTCTGTTTTGACAGTCTACACAAAAATTGAAGTCTCTATTCAACTTTGAGAAAAAATTATTTTCAGACATTTTCGTCATTTTTTGGGTTTTTGGAATAAATCTTGAATAACTTGGCTCCTGGGTAAGATTTCGAGCTGGAACTAATAAAAAGCATCTTAAATGCGCTCATGATCATGTTATAATTGTTCAAGGCATTCATGAGCTCTGGTAGCTCATCACTGAACTCGAGTTTTGAACTGAAAAAAAATTCCACATTGAAAATTTTCAAATGTGTGCAAAATTTTCCAAAGATGTTCCAATTTACCAAAATTGTCTTTGAAACTATGATTCTGTACGGAAAAATGATGTTTACTTATGAAATCCAGTTTTTTGAAGAAAATCAGAATCATCGAATTTCGAGGTTAGTTTTCGAAGTTTCAGTCAGTTTCAGCGCAACAGTTCACCCAGGAGCCAAGTTATTCAAGATTTATTCCAAAAACCCAAAAAATGACGAAAATGTCTGAAAATAATTTTTTCTCAAAGTTGAATAGAGACTTCAATTTTTGTGTAGACTGTCAAAACATACTGTAACATACTATTTTAACGAATTCCAACAAATTATTCTCAATTTATTTCTCAAAAAAACTAGAGATTTTTCATTTTCCAGGGTGGTGCTATCATTATGACGCGGTGTGCAGACAGACTTTTGGTTACTGTAGTCCTAATAAACTTGACTGGTACTTGTTTCAGGGGACACATAGGTTTTTTGGGAGGCTGAATCGAATGGCATTTGCCGTTTTTCTCTTGGTTTTTTAGTTTTTCTGAAAACCTCAAAAAATGGGGTATTGCTATCATTATGACGCGCACTGTATTTTTCGTGGAGTCCCTAGGGGGGCACTTCAATTAGAGAAGACCTTCAATTTCAAGGGCCCTTCTAATACAGGTTTTACGGAATCTCGATCTCTGTGATCAAAATATCAGAATTTTGTCAACTGGTAGAATATTGGTGATATCATAATGACACCTTGAAAACTACCCGAGTTATCTGGAAAAGTCGGAAAATATGTCTTTTGCAGCCGTTGCAAGTTTCTTTCAAATCAGTAGATTCACTCAGGTCAGTAGATCAAGAGCTCCAGCAAAGACGGGCGTGTACAATTTTGATTATGTACAACTAAAATCACTGTAAAAAGTCGTTTTTATTAAGTGTTTCTCTTTCTTTGAGTTTGTATCATGTCATGGGTTCTTTTGCCGACTGATGCTAGAAAAGCTTTACTCGGGGCAGTTAGAGCAGCTGGATGGACCAAAAAACTATCAGAAAGCAACTAAATCAACTGTCATATCGACTGTTTTCTCATCCGAAAATTAAGGAAAAATAACAGGATCAGCTCCAATCCTGCCTTCAAGATTCCAACCATCGACCAGTACTGTCGTTTTAAACTCTTTGAAGTCGTGTAATCGTATCAACCAGGAGCTGAAACTTGAATTCATCAAGTGGACGGGTTAGAGATGTCTCTCAGATGATTAGGCGTCAAAAGAGCAATCTTGGTCCCAGCTCCGACACCTACCGAAGATCACAAAGTACGTTGTCTCAACTTCTTTCAACAGTGCATCGGATCCAACTGGGTGAAAGTGTTAAAGTTCAACAAGATCTACCAAAATAACCTTAGCATGAATGTTTTTCATTCTAAAAAAGTATCTGACAAAACTATCACCGTTTATACCGCTAACATTTTATTAGTTGACAAAATTCGAGTATCTTTTATAGGAACCGAGATAATTGCCCAATAAATAAAACAACAGATGGAGCGCCTTCGGCGCGTTTCAACCTAGTTTTTACTCGTTCGTCCTTAGTTTTTCACTTTTTTTAATGGGTTACGTAAATCTATATTTAAAAAAATCTATATTAAACCTATATTAAAAAAATAAATCTATATTTTTAAAAAAAATCTAAATCTATATTTTCGAGTTTTTAAAACTTCTCACACGTTACGCAATAAACCTCTAAATTAATAAATATTAGGTCACGCCCCCTACCTCTGTCCACGTTGAAAAAAATTCCACGTATTGAAAAACAATCCTTTGGGAAATCCCACTTTTTGAATTAGTTTGATAAATTTCACTAGCACTTTTTAACTGCTCTGAAGCTCCCTGCGTAAGCTGTTTATTGTTTCATTTACTTTTTTCTTTCGATGGGTCGGATGCGAAAAAAGTTATAAAAGGCCCTCAGGGTCGCCATGTTTGGTGGTTCATGGCTAGGTGAATTCATTTTCACTGAACGTCCCCCTTTTGCAAAAGACTCAATCAAAGAAAAAAGAAGCAAATGAACAAAAACAATAAATAGCGATCGTATAACTTTTTATCAGTGAAAAAGAACTATTGAAAATTAGAAAACTGTCTCTTCGGAGACAGGGGTTTTGTGTTGGTGTTTTCCCCCAGTGAAAACCCATTTTCCCTTTCATGTACTGAGCCTCTACGTGGCGAAAGGGATCAACAGACGAAAGTCTGGCTAATCAGTACACTTTCGAAAATTGTCATTTTTCATAATTTTTGGTCGATATGTTCAGGGATATTTATTTTTGAAGTTACATTTTTCATTTTTTAAGCCCGTTTCCAAGAAGGAAATTCTTAAGAATCAAAATTGGACACCTCCGTCTTCGCTGGAGGTCGTGATGTACTGATCTTTCGAGTGGACGTATAAACTTGCGACGGTTGCAAAAGGCATATTTTCAGACTTTTTCAGATAAATCGGGTAGTTTTCAAGGTTTCATTACAAAAATTGCCCACTAGATTTAATTTGTTGTCCCGAATCCGATTTTTAAACATATTAGGCCGATACCTCTAGCAGCTCTCAAGTTATGACCCTAAAAATTGGTTGAAACATAAACATAAACTAAAAATGGGTCAAGGATAAACAAGGACCTGCAACGTGATGTTATTGTTATTGCTCCCCTCCCGCTCCTAAATATAAATTCAATTTTTTCTCAGCTGACCAACAATCCCCCAAGAGAATTCTACCTTCAGAATAAACAAGAACTCACCAATAGATATTTCCTCTTCTTCCAGTACGTATCCATTATTGTATTCATCACTTCTAGCGACTGAAGAATGAGAATCAGAAGAGACGATTGAATCTGAAAATAATTTTAGAAGATTTTGGGTTCAATCATTGAAATCTCACTGCGAAAAGCGTCTTCTTCATTTACAAAACGATGGGGAGTATGGCGAGCCGATGGTGGTAGAGATACAGATAGTGATTGGCTGAAACGTTTTCGATTTTGAGAAAATAATTTAAAGAAACTTAACCAACCCCTTATTATAATTTGTCAGCGAATTACTCCTTTTCCGTTTCGAGTGTAAATTTGAGTAAACTCTTGATTGTCGTCGAGAACCACTTGCCGAATGCCTATGAGATGGAATCGGCTGTTGGCGGAACATTATAGCATCCAAAGAAGAACTGGCACATAGTGGAGGAGGTGGACGAGAAGAATCAGCTGTTACTGTTGATGATGTTTGACTTCCGACGATTTCACTGGAACAAGAGCACGCATTCATAGCAGATGCAGTGATTTCATCTGGGCGTGGGGCTGAAGACGTGGAAGTTTCCAGTTGGCAGAGATCCAAAGCAGCGATGGTATCACGATGGTGGAGGTCTTGAATGCGATTCTCGTCTGGTCGGAGAACTATATCTTCCACAGCTCGCTGAAAAGCATAGATATTAGATTTTCTAGATCAATCTATCATAAGACCTCTAATGCAGAGTTGCACCCATCGTTGAGCAAATTTTTTCTCGATTCCTGTGAAATATAGTGAAAACTTATCAACTGATAAAATATTGATGATATTGTGGTAAAAAATTTATCAGTTGACAATTTTTCGATATTCTACACAGAAATCGAGAACATTGACTCGAAGTTTGGGGCGCCCTTCAGTCGGCTAATATTTGCAGGGTCCCTCAGCTTTGATCCAATTCATCTTGGTTCTTTTGAAAGATATCAAAAAGTCGTCAAAATGGTTAGCACAATGTCAGTAACATTTTGTCTGTCCATCACTTTTTCTTATCTTCTTCAGGAAGCGAGATAAATTAGCTTCAAGATGACGGATATTAAAGAAGTTATAGTAGTTTTTTGTTTGTTGGCAAGTCAATCAGGTTTTTCAAAATCTTTACCCAAAAGAAATTTCAAAAAATTGCGTTATTTGAAAATAAAATGTTTAGATTTGGATGATACTTTTTAAAAGTATGTTTGGAATATACAAAAACAAAAGATTCATTATTACCATTAATGCTCTGATAGAAGCCCACCCAAACGGTCAACTTTGAGCTCAATTATCTCCATTCCTGTGATAGATATCAAAAAGTTGTCAACTGATAAACAATTCATCGTAATATCAAAAATATTTTATCAGTTGAATCGAGATAATTGAGCTCAAAGTTGATGGTTTTATATCTCTTTTAGCAGTTCTCAGTTTTTTCAGTTATTAAATTTTAAACCTCTTTAGTTCTGAAATTTTGAGAATCTCGGTTCTCAATAGGGTTAAAATATCCAATCCACGACATCTTTTTCAGACAAAACAACTTACTTTAAGATCATTGCACCGCATGGATTGTGTCGACGTTGCCCAAAAATTGCTACCCGAACCGAATCCAGAAGCCGTCGTGTAGACGTGCGTCTCCGAAGAGTTCGCAACCGTCGTGCTGATTGCCGTTGTCGTCGTTTTGACTGTTTCTTGTCCAGAAACGGACAAAAGAAGTGAAGAGATCAAATTTCCGAGAACGAGTGAGTCAATTTGCCTACTTGAGAGTCGGTTGTTTTTTGTTCTGCCTCCCTGAAAAAATGCTTGATTTTTCTTTTTGAGAGAACAAGAGAAGAAAACGAATGGGGGTGGAAAACAAGACACTCAATTTGGTGTGTGGGGGAGCTCAGAATTTATATCAAAAAATGGAAAAATAAGAAGAAAAACAAGGTGCGCGTTCTTGCTCAGTTAGAGATCTAATTGTCAGTGTCATTGTTAATTGAAAAAATAGAAAAAAAAGAAGACTACAGAACTCTGAGCAAGAGCAGACAGAAGAAAAAGTGTCCAAGTGGTCCCAGAGAAAACAAGTATCTTCTCTCTGCGTCTCTCAATCTCTCTCATTGTTTTTCTCTCCGTCTCTCTTCTTCCTACTGTATTTCTTCCAGTGGAGCACGAAGAAAACAAAAATGATAAATGATCAACACAGAAAAGTTTTGGTGTCGTGAAAGCAGGAGATCTCAGCGGGTCATTTTGCGAACTTTGGAACTTTTTTTTTGGGAAAACGAAAACGAAAATTCAAGTTTTGTTTTGTTTTTGAAGAAAAATGAATCATGAGCTGGTACGATTTTAGTAAAAACAAAAGAAGGAAAAGGAGAAGAAGGAGATCAAACTACGGTTGTAGAGAAAGTTTTAAAATTGAAAAAAAATCATAAAGATGAGAAAAAAACGAGGAAAAGATAAATTTTAAAAATTTTGAAAAAAATTCAGGACAGATTCGGAAGTTGGAGAAAAAAGAATCCATAGGAAAGCGCTTTCTTCAGCGTATACAAAAAATCAGAATCAGAATTTCGAAGTTCAAAATTTTTAGAAATTCAGAAGTTCAAATTTGTAGAAGTCACAGAATCTCAGAATCTCAGAATCTCAGAATCTCAGAATTTCAGAATCACAGAATGTCAGAATTTCAGAATTTCAGAATTTCAGAATTTCAGAATTTTAGAATTTTAGAATTTTAGAATTTTAGAATTTTAGAATTTTAGAATTTTAGAATTTTAGAATTTTAGAATTTTAGAATTTTAGAATTTTAGAATTTTAGAATTTTAGAATTTTAGAATTTTAGAATTTTAGAATTTTAGAATTTTAGAATTTTAGAATTTTAGAATTTTAGAATTTTAGAAGTTTAGAATTTCAGAATTTCAGAATTTCAGAATTTCAGAATTTCAGAATTTCAGAATTTCAGAATTTCAGAATTTCAGAATTTCAGAATTTCAGAATTTCAGAATTTCAGAATTTCAAAATTATATCAGAATTTCAGAATCTCAGAATCTCAAAATCTCAGAATCTCAGAATCTCAGAATTTCAGAATCTCAGAATCTCAGAATTTCAGAATCCCAGAATCCCAGAATCTCAGAATCTCAGAATCTCAGAATCTCAGAATCTCAGAATCTCAGAATCTCAGAATCTCAGAATCTCAGTATCTCAGAATCTCAGTATCTCAGTATCTCAGAATCTCAGTATCTCAGAATCTCAGTATCTCAGAATCTAGAATTTCGAAAAATCAGAATTTCAGAACATAATAGTTTCGAAAATTTAGAAATGCAGGTTTTCAGAAATTAAAAATTTCGGAATTTCGGAATATTTGAAACTATGTTCACATTAATTCAAACTAGAATTTTCCGGGTTTCCTTTTCTAATTCTGTGTGGGAAAAAGTCCTTACCTGAAAGAAGAAAAAGGTAACCGGAGCGGAAGGAAAATGAATGAAAAGAGTGAAAAGACAGGTGCTCTTTGGCTCCGAGAGAGAGTTGGAAACGAGTCATAACTCTTTGAGATGAAGAAGAAGAAGAGATTGCTCAGTGACATCTTATCACTCAGTGAATGTTCATTTGACAGAAAAGAAGAAGAAGAAGCTCATCTTTTGTTCTTCTTCATTTCCTGTGTCAGCCAACACTGCACTTTTCTTAATTTCCTCTCTCCCGTTTGGTATTGTAATGGGCCTACTACGACGACGACGACAAAAAGGAGCCGAGAAAATAAGAGAAAAAATAAATAGATATGGAGAAGCAGCACATAGCTCAACGACGTCATCAACTTGTGCCAAAACGACATCTCTTTTTTTTTCTTCTACGACTTCTGGAGACATGTTCCCCTCTTATCCTAGTGTCGATTTATGGAAAGGGTTGCACAGAAATAGCATATAAAACAAAGAGGTGAAGAGATAAAGAGATTTATAGTGTTTTAGCTAATTGAAAATGCCATGAAAAATTTTAATCTGGGTTTCTATAATTTCGAAATCATCAGCTTTAAAGTTGAGAGATTCAGAGTTTTTGAGATTCTGAGATTCTGAAATTCTAATTTTTCGAGTGATTTTGGAGTGTCGAAAACGGAAATTTTTTTTAAATGCTGAATTCAGAGGCTACTTTTGAAACTTTGGAATTTTTTTGAAGATTTTGAAATTCAAATTTCAATTCGACCTTTCAGAATCCAGAATTTAGAATTCGAAGCTTCAGGATTTCCGGTCTTTCTGAAAATTGAGACTTCTGGATTTTTGGAATCACGGAGTGCATCATTTTTGGCTTTTTAAGAATTATAGAAAATCGATTTTTTGAGATTCTCGGTTTCTCGGATTCTCGGATTCTGAAAATTAGAAATTCTGAGATTCTGAAATTCTAAAATTTTGAAACTCTGAGATTCTGAAATTTTGAGATAATAAGATTCTGATAGTGAGATTCCGAGATTTTGAGATTCTGAGATTCTGAGATTCTGAGATTCCGAGATTCTGAGATTCTAGGATTCGGGGATTCCGAGATTCTGATAGTTAAAAAATTTTGAGATTTTTCAAAAAGTTTTGTAGCTAAAAATTTTGAGATTCTGATTTTCGTTTTTTCTGGAACTCTCAAACTCTTAAATATGACCATTTTATGAAATTTGAAAGACTAAAATTATAAAGAAAATGGGGGAAAAAAGTTAAATAGGCTCTAAAATCATCAAAATCTTTCAGATTTGTAACAATCCTGATTTTCAGGTTCTTCTCAAACTACAGATTTTACTACAGTATACATTTCAGTCAATAGCACTTGCTTAAGCTTCACCAAAAACCTGCACCATGTGATTCCTGAATCCTTTGGATTCAGTGTGAGAAAAAAGAGACAAAGTGCGCCTTGTTTGGAGACTTGGTGATCGTGAAAACGAAGAAGAAGAAGGCGATGGTGTGTGTATGCCTATGCTGCTCCAAAAGAGAGCTTGGGTGAGAAAAAGAGAAGAATCCAGAAATGGTGGAAGGGGCGGCTGAAGCGCGGGTGGATAGAATAGAGTGATGGAGAAACGAGACACGATTACAACTATAGAATTCTCATTAAGACACACACACACAGAGCCACACCACCACTACTGACCCCTTCTTCTTCTTCGTATGTGTGTTTCGGAGAAGGAAAAGAAGAAATGGAGCAACGAAAATGAAAAATAGAGGGGATAAAAAAAGAAGAACGTCTGAGGTGAAGCGATAAAACTAGGATCGAATTAACTAGAGAGATAAGAGACGCAGAGACGCAGAGAGGTGCTCACTTGATTACTAATAGGATCAGCTGGAAGCATACATGAAGGCGTGTCAAAACATTATTCATGAACTTTGATATCTTAAGATTAGCAACAATTTTTGTGATTTGCCAGGCGGAAGTTTGGAGATAAGAAAGCAAAGTTTAATGTTATAATGTGCGATGGGATATTAGAGATCGTGGTGAGGGCAGGATTTTTAGAAGAAGTAAGGAAAATCACAAAATCGGAGAAGTCAGAATCTTCTCAAAGGTTCAAACATGAATTCTGAATTTTTTCCAGAACATCGTGAATGTCAAAAATCTGATTACACCAAAATTTTCGAATTCTTCAGAACCTCAAAAAAATCATAATATCAGAGTTTCAGAATTTCAGAAAAGAAGTTCAGAATTTTAAAAATTCATAAATTTCAAAAATTCAAAATTTCAAAAATTTTGAAATTTCAAAAATTCACAAAGCCAGAAATTCAAAAATTCAAAAAATCAGAAATTCAATGATTCAAAAATTCAGAAATTCAATGATTCAAAAATTCAGAAATTCAATGATTCAAAACTCAAAAATTCTAAAATTCTAAAACTCAAAAATTCTAAAATTCTAAAATTCTAAAATTCTAAAATTCTAAAATTCTAAAATTCTAAAATTCTAAAATTCTAAAATTCTAAAATTCTAAAATTCTAAAATTCTAAAATTCTAAAATTCTAAAATTCTAAAATTCTAAAATTCTAAAATTCTAAAATTCTAAAATTCTAAAATTCTAAAATTCTAAAATTCTAAAATTCTAAAATTCTAAAATTCTAAAATTCTAAAATTCTAAAATTCTAAAATTCTAAAATTCTAAAATTCTAAAATTCTAAAATTCTAGAATTCTAAAATTCTAAAATTCTAAAATTCTAAAATTCTAAAATTCTAAAATTCTAAAATTCTAAAGTTCTAGAATTCTAAAATTCTAAAATTCTAAGATTCTAAAATTCTAAAATTCTAAAATTCTAAAGTTCTAAAATTCTAAAATTCTAAAATTCTAAAATTCTAAAATTCTAAAATTCTAAAATTCTAAAATTCTAAAATTCTAAAATTCTAAAATTCTAAAATTCTAAAATTCTAAAATTCTAAAATTCTAAAATTCTAAAATTCTAAAATTCTAAAATTCTAAAATTCTAAAATTCTAAAATTCTAAAATTCTAAAATTCTAAAATTCTAAAATTCTAAAATTCTAAAATTCTAAAATTCTAAAATTCTAAAATTCTAAAATTCTAAAATTCTAAAATTCTAAAATTCTAAAATTCTAAAATCCCGAAAATCAAAACTGATTCGGAAATTAAGAAATTTAGAAACCCAGAAATTCTAAAACTCGAAAATTCTGAAAAAAAAACTAAATTCAGTATTTAATGTCGGATTAAAAAAGTGACACCTGAAAATCTCGGAGACGGCGCTCGTGTCGATTTACGAGGGGGGGGGGGAGCGAAAACGGATACTGTAGATCACAAATTTATTTATTTGAATTTAGTGGGATTTTCTGAACAAAATTTTGATTTCTTGATATAAAAATGATCGTTAGCAACTCTAGAATCTATTTTTCAGCAAAAAAAACTAAACTTAAACGCGAAAGTTGCTCGAACGAGCCGAAATTCTGAAATATTACGTTTTTGCCGCACTTTTTCGTAGATCAAAAAAGCAAAAGTTTTCAAATTTTCAGGTGTCACTTTTTTTAATTCGACAATATACCAATTTATTTCTTTAGAATTACTCTAAGAAACATCTAGAATATTCTCTGAAAACCTAATTTTGAAATATTTCCAACGTCAGGTAGCATGCAAAAAATCTACAAATCCAAAGTGAACAGAAAATAAACTCAATTGAAAATTAGAGCCATTTATAACGCCCGCTTTCTCTCTAACCACATTAAAAGAACACTTATTCATTCTTCCTAAACTAATCAATCTCTATTAACAAGTGAAACCTGATATTGAACGAATAGAATAAATGTGCTGTGAATAGTAGTATTCCGAAAATGGAAGCAACTTGACTTGAGAGTCACTTCAAAACGGGATGAGCAATGCGGAAAAATGGATAAAGATAGAGAAAACAACAAGAGAACAGTTTTTGTTTGAAAACGAGGTTAATTAGTGAGATTAGAGCCAAAAGTTGTCAATTTAGCGCCGAAAAATGCCGAAAACTATAGGGTTGAGCATAATTACTGGGACTCAAGTTTGTTTTTATCTTAAAATTTGAATAAAGCGTTGTACTGAGCTTAAATTTGGAGAACTAATATTCAAATAATTCATCAGTCAACTAGTCAAATTTCAATTGATTAGATCAACTTTGGGCTGATGAAAATCACAACGGCAAAACATTACCCCGTTCGTCTTTGGACAATCATAACAACACCTAAACTTGAGGAATCGCTTTGAAAATTTCAGTAGCTTTGAATCAGACGTAAAAATATATTCCTACCAATTTTCGTGCTTCCAAGAAACTTATGTCTAAAGATATACCCGTTTTTATCAGTCAGGGTTATTCTGCGCCACCCTGTAAATCTACGGAATCTTGTTTCAAATTTCCTTCCAAATCTCTATGATCCCTAATTCCAGATTTTGAAACAATAACTTCACAGCTGGCTTCTCATTATTTATCTGACGAAAAAGATGATAAAAGTGCATTGGATGCTGCTGCGATACGATGATTAGCAACCATGACAACCAATGGGAAAATAGGGATTTCGAAGCGAACGAAGCGTGCTCTTTGAGAATGGAAAGAGAGAAGAAAAAAGAAGGTGTTGGGGGATTTATTTGAAAAAAGAGATTAAACGACGATTTCTGAATCACAATGTTCATTAATCCGATAAACTGAAAATTTTTGGGAGATTGGAAAAAGATCAAGGCTTTGGAAGATAAATTGAGGGAGGGGATAAGGAGAAATGATGATGATCAAAGCTAATTTTTTGTTTGAATCAGACTCATATTAGATGATGGATTCAAAAGAATTAAAGTGAGCTTAAAGACAATACGGTATCAAACTGAATAATGCAAAATTTTCGCATTCCATCTGGAAACGACTTTGTTCTGCGATGCTGCTCTGATAGATCCCCACCAAAACTGGCGATTTTGAGCTCAATTATCTCGATTATTGTAATAGATATCAAAAATTTTCAACACATAAAATATTTGTGATAATATGATAAACAAGTTACCAGTCGACAAAACTTTGCTATCATTCACAGGAATCGAGATAATTGACCTCAAAGTTAGGTGGGCTTCTATTAAAGAAAATACGGTAGTCAGAAATCTGAAATCATGATTTTTAAGAATACAAAATATCGGAGCAATAGCAACTTCATTTTTAGTTGATCACTTTCGAAATATCTTCCGAGCAGTGAAGCGGGTCGAGTTTCTAGAAAAAAGAGTCAGGAATTTTGAAAAAATCATATCACCTGTCACATGAAGCTCTGACTAAGAAATCTGAAACGTATTTTTAATCATTCTAGGTGCCAATCGAGTCTGATTCGAAGAATGATTGTTTTCCGGTCACCTGCTCCAAATTAAGTAAATGACAAAATCAGAAAAAATTACTATTGATTTCGTTTATGGTTTTTGAAACGTTAAACTGTAAGAGACAGTAAAACCCCTAATAGATGGGCCCCCACACTGTCAAGTTTGAGTTCAATTATCTCGGTTGCTAAAAGAGGTATCAAAAAGTGGTCTGATAAATTGCTTATCGCAATATCAAATGCGATTTGTTAGTTTACACATTTTTGATATCTTGCATGGGAGCCAAGAAAAATCAGCTCATACTGAAAACGAACTGAGTTGGGTTTTCGAGAAAATCCCCAAGCAAAAAAGCACATAACTAAATCGGGAAAGAAATTCAAATCTGCAACAATTTCTGCAAGAAAAGTCCAGAAGAGCAAACTAAAAGCCAAAAATACTCGCTATTCTATCTTTTCGAAACGTCTCAAGGGACTTAAGAGGCGACCGAATCAGAATCAACTCATTTCAATTCCATCCTTTTCTTTACCATTTCATCTCATTAATTATTGAAGAGCATCCCGCACGAGTCAATGTCACGCGTCTTCTGGAATTCCTTCTTTTTTTCTTTCGGACGACGTCTTCTTTTCACTCAAAAAGCTCCGTCCGTCCGTCCGTCACACACAAATTTAATCAGCCTAATGAAGAAAAGAAGAAGGAAAGAAGAATTTTCTTAAGTATTTTTGTGTCAAAAGGGTGTATTTTCTTTTATGGAAAAGTGCCAATGGTCAATGAACTCGTGAGAAAGAAAAGAGCAAATAGGATGTTTACTTCCAATAAGAACTAGGGGACTGTTTTTTGTAGGGATGGTGTCAAAATCAAAAATAGGACACCTCATGACTTTCTGATTGCTGACTTCTCAATACCATACAGGGTGAATATCCATACAGGGTGGCGCACAATTTCCCTGGCTGATAAAAATGGTTATATCTTTAGACATAAGTGTTTTGGAAGCCCTAAAATTGGTAGAAATACAATATTACGTTTGATTTGAAGCTACATAAATTTTCAAAGCGATTCCTCAAGTCCAGGTATTGTTGTGATTGTTCAAAGATGAACGGCGTAATGTTTGTTGTGATTTTCATGAGATAAGGCAACTTTGACAAGCGATAATTCAGCTCAAAGTTGATTTAATAATTTGAAACTTGGTCAGTTTACTGATGAGTTTTTTGTATTTTTGTTCTCCAAATTTGAGCCCAGTACAAGGCTTTACTCAAGTTTTATGCTAGTACAAACTTTAGACCGGGCAATCATCGCTATGTTCAAAATGTTCTACTCTTGTTTTGAATATCCTTGTGTTTTGAAAAAAATTATTAGATTATTCCCGATTTTCCAGAAAATGTTCAGTCCTAAACAAATGCAGAATGTCTTCATGTTAGCGGTGACTGTTTTGTGCAAGTTTGTTTGAATAACATTTCGGAAGTGCATCTAATTTTCAATTCTATAATTTCCGTGCAATTTGTACTAGGAGGGCTCCCACACTGTCCGTTTTTAGCTCAATCATCTCGATTCCTGCAGAAGATATCAAAAATATGTCAATTGACAAAATGTTCGGGATACTATGATAAGCAATTCATCAGTTGACATCTTTTTTATATTTTTGATAGGAACCGAGAAAAGTTGAGCTCAAAAATAACGGTTTGTTTGGTATTCTATTAGAGTGTTCACGGTAGTTTGGTTCCAAGCGAAATACTTCTTCGGAATATTAGGTTGGCGGGAAAGTCTTTGTCACTCTGTTTGTTTAATCACTGTTCTCGTATATGGAGGCTGTGTATGATATCGACTCTAGTGAATAACAAGGTGATAAGAACCTTCCATATAAACAAGTCCCCATTTCCTTCCCTGCTCCTCATCTGTAATTGAAACGATATGTTTGTTCCCACTGCTATTCACATCAGACATGTTTTGATTTACCTCTTCCTATCTCACACCACGATGAAGGATTCGGAATCTTTCTTGAAGAATGTGTACAACACACATGCCCCTCACTACAATACTATTCGCAATTGGTTCCATCGTTTCGAAAAAGATGACTTCTCGCTCGATGAAAAGGATCGCTCTGGGAGACCCCGTGAGTTGGATTTGGACAAGCTGAAGCACGCATTGCAATCGGATCCATTTCAATCTAGCCGTAAACTAGCTGTCACATTCGGAGTTCACCATAGCACAGTCCTTGAAGGTTTGAAGTCTCTTGGAATGAGAAAACTTTTTGGTCGATTCATACGTCATCACCTGACTCAAGCCAACCTTGACCGCCGAGTCGACGATTCGATTACTCTTCTCACTCTCCACGCGGGCGATCGATGGCTGGACCGGCTAATAACCGGAGATGAGAAGTGGGTCTTCTACGATAATCACCACAGGAAATCCCAGTGGGTTGGAGAAGGAGAGAGCCCACAGGATGTCCCCAAACCCGACCTTCATCCGAAAAAAGTTATGCTCTCTGTGTGGTGGGGAGTGGACGGCCCCATCTACTGGGAACTTCTGCCCGAGGGCAAAACAATAACTGGAGACCTCTACACTACTCAACTACGAAACCTCAAGAAAGCAGTCGACCGTTCGGCCCTGAAAGACAAGAAAGTGTACTATCAACATGATAACGCTCGCCCACATGTTTCGAAACAAGTGAAGCAGGAGCTGATGGGATATGGATGGAATGTTCTCCCTCACCCCCCGTATTCTCCTGATCTTGCTCCTTCCGACTATTGGTTATTTGGCGATATGACACGTGCCTTCGAAGGAAGAAGCTTCAATTCCCGTGGAGCGGTCGAAGCGGCACTCAAACAATACTTTGCCTCACGCCCGGCTGGATTCTACCGCAATGGAATCCATAAATTGAGGGAACGTTGGAGACATGTTGTTGATAATGATGGACAATATAATTAATTATTCGGTTATTTTTTCTTTGAGAAATAAACTATTGAAAAAGTGACAAAGACTTTCCCGCCAACCTAATACAATTTCCAATAAAAAAAAAATTATCAGCTGAAAACTCTATCCTAGCTTTATATTTTTGCAAAGCTCATACTAATTGAGCTGATTTCAATCAACTAATTCAAAAATCCTATTTAGAATTGTTTTTTTAACTGTTTTCCAGAAGCTGAGCTGACGTAGAATATATGGTAAGCATATCAAGCAGGCTGTTGCATAAAAATAATATAGGGAGAAAGGGGAAAAACGGAAAGTAAAAAAATCTTCGAAAATGGGAAAAGTGAAAGAAGGACAAATAGAAAAACCCCTCCGTGTCAGTCCTACTAGTGAAGGAAAGAGGAGAAGTATGGGAGGAGAGAGAAAGAAGTATTTGAATATTATGCAACTAAAAAGTTTTTTTAGAGAAACATTTGGAGAGAAGAAGAGCAGAATAAAAAATGACATAAAACACAGAAACTGGTTGTTGCGCTGGTTTTCGAAAGTTGTCCGAACTGAGAGTTCGTTTTAGAGATTCTAAGATTTCGTAATATAAGAAAGGAGAAGTTTAGAGGATGAATAGAAGACAGATTTGACGTTTCACAAGGGACATCTTGTCTAAAAAAGAAAGAGAGAAGTATCTGTCAAAAAGTGGATTTTTTTAACTTGCTGAACATCAAAACTTTTTGGAACTATGGAATTTGAAAAGGGGGTTTTTTATGGACAAAAATAAACAATAAAATTTGATACACTTTCCACTAAAAACAACTTTGATAGCTCAACAACTAAACGAGCTACAGAGATTTCAACTTTTGCTGAGGCTTAGAACATGGTGTAGTTTGTAGTCCGTTAACGTCAGTGATACTTCACTGCGTCCTAAGTCGGCTCATTTTCATTCATTTTTACTGATTTTTAGTGCGAAATTTGAGAAATTTTGTATTTTTAAAAAATTCACTCAAACGTTTCCGTCGTTTTAAACTGAAAATCATTGAAAACGAATGAAAATGAGCTGAGTTACAGCTATTTGAAGTTTTCCTGAGGCTGACACTACAAACTATTATACAAAACTCAGTTAGCCTCAGGAAAACTTCAAATCGCTGAAAATCGGCTCATTTTCATTCGTTTTCGCTGATTTTTTTTTCAAAATATGGGAAATTTTGAGAATTAGTAATCCCAGAGTATCATGTTTAGAATTTTCAATGTTGGAGCAAGCTTTTTTTGGTATAAGTGAAAAATAGAAAAACTAGCAAATTCTGGGAATAGAATATTTTTTGGTCTTTTAAGAATTTCACAACAAAGAAAAAATGTCGTAGAAAACAAAGTAAAAAAAACAGAAGAAAGTGAAGGCTAGGGCCAGAAGGAAAAGACCATCGAACGGGCGGTACAAAGGACATTAATTCGGAAGCAGTGTTGCGGAATGCATTGGGATGGCTGACGACGACACGGTTCAGAGATGATGATGATGACCAAAAGTTTATTATTAGTTGTTATTATGAAAAAGAGAGATCAGTATTTTTTTGGTTCAAGGCAACTTTGGAATTTTTTAGAATAAATCAGATTAAAATTATTTGTACACGATTTTCCATTTCGGTGGTTGTTCACAATCCGGAATATTGTCCGGACACAAGCGATTGAAAGTTGATGAAATCGGGAATCCAAGGATCTCACGGTCCTCTTGGATTCTGAAAGTGAACGTGGATTCGTAGCTTCGATGAAGTGTGCAGCATGGGCGCAGAGATACTGAAAATTGGTTTCTGAAATTATTTGAGCACTGAACATATTTTCTCTAATAAAAACATAACCTATACGTGCATTTTGAGCTCAATTATCTCGATTCTTGTGAAAGATGTCAAAAATCTGTCAACTGATAAAGTATTAGTGATATTATGATATACATTTTATTAGTTGGAACAATTTAGATATCTTCTGAAGGAATCGAGATGATTGAGCTCAAAATTCAAGCAATGGTTGAGCTTCTATTTTACTCAACTTGTTATAAATTTTCAATTAAAAAACCATACTTGCGGACGGAGCTGAAGGGGCCAAAACAACAGCTACAGTAACTTAATATATTTGTTATTTTCAGTATTTATTTTCTTGATTTCTGTGCATTTTTAATCAATTTTTCACTATAAAATATTCATTTTCCGATTTGTTCGGGGGAAAAAATCACAAAAAACTCGCCGAAAACACATGAAAAGCGAGAAAATAAATACGGAAAATAAAATATTTTTAGGTTACTGCAGTTGTGCGTGGTGGGACCTTCCGCCACCGGAACCGGCTTTTTCACAGGTCTGAAATTTTTTACCACAAAATTACTTTTTTTTACTTTCCAGACTATATGCATTTACCCTTCCTGTTACTGGTACTAGGATC